ATGGAATTCCAGGCTTCAGTGGTTTTGTGTATCGAGGAATGGATGGAGGCACTGCATTTCTGCCTGAGAAAGGGTGCGTGTGGATGTTCACTGAGTAACACCTGAAGAGAGACACCCATATAGCACCTTCCAGCACCTCCAGGGGACTTACAAGGGGGTTGAAGAGAGACTTTTCCCAAGGGCATGTAGTTATAGGACAAGGGGGAGTAGCTTTAAACTGAAGGAGGGTAGATTTAGATTAGAAATTAGAGCAATTATTTACTATAGGGGTGTCAGTGCAGTCGCCCAGGTTGCCCATAGAGATTGTGGATGCCCCATCCCTGGAAGTGTTCAAGGCCAGGCTGGATGGGGCTTTGAGCAACCTGATATAGTGGAAGGTGTCCCTGCTCATGGTAGGGGGTTGGAACCAGATGATCTTTAAGGTCCCTCCCAACCCAAACTACTCTATGTTTCTGTGATAAGAGCGAACTTGCTGCACTCAAAGTGAGCTGGATGGATTGTTCCCTGGTTATCAGACACACTGATGAATATCTGGAAATACCCAAATAACCAGACTCCTAAAATGCCTGCAGGATAGAACTTTCTCACAGACCAAAAGTGAAGATATATTGGAGGAGCATGTCTTGATCACATGGACATCCCTCACAGCATCAACAAATGAGATCTATCTCATTAAGGTATCTGTGGCATGGCTTTAGGGTGCCTCATTTGTAGTAATTTCATGTCTTTTTAGAATGTGAGCCCCTGGTTTGTTTTTGAAGCAATACAGAATTGCAGAGCAAACACATACTGAACATCTGTCCTGCATGTCACTGATCTTGGGGCTTGGTGATGCTCCTATTTTTGTCAGATTTGTTATTTGTCATTTTTGTCTTTTTTTTTCCTAATTAGTCCTTATCTCTCCTTTCTGGCTCAGTTCCTTGTCTCTCTCCTATCCCCCTGCTAAATTCAATGCTCCATTTCCATATCAATGCTTAATCTGTTTTTTCTCTTCCCAGTGAATTTTCTCAGTTTTTCATTCCCCTTCCTCCCCAGCATCCCTCATCCTGTTATCTGCCTGTCTTAGTCCCCTCTGTCCTACCAGATGTTATTTCACCCTGATAATTACCCTCTGTTGGACCTCTTATTTGCAACTCATCCTTTCCAAAACTGGGTTCACTTCCGGTGTGTTCCAGCTTTATGTCTCCACCCAGCTCACCATCCCCTTCATCACCATACTGTTGGATGTATTCAGTTTAATTCTTCCCAGTCTTTCTCATCCTTGTTTGTTTTGTGTGTTTGTTTGTTTGTTTGTTTTCCCCACTCCTATATAACAAAGTTTCCTCCTTTCTATGTCTATTCCCTGTATTTCATGGAAATGTGAGAGGACAAATATCAAGAAAATATGAGAAGCATGTCATTGGTGTCCCCTGAAACGTCCCTTTTCCTGACTTGAACAAGTGCCTCAGAAATACATGGACAGTTATTTACAAATTTTCTAGGAATATTAAAGGCAGATAAGTTGTAAGAAAAATGTTTCCCAAGTGAGAAACTTAGACAAAATACCAACAATCTAAAATGCAACTTAAAATGGAGCAAGACAAGCTGCCTTATTATAGGTAGAATTATAATTTTCTAGGGGAAACGGTAACTTCTTGAACTTAACAATCTTCATAATTTCTTAGAACAATTTGTGGTGAAAGGGAAGAAGCAAAACCAAGGATGACACAAGGACAGATAGAAGGATTTTCTCCCGCCCTTCCCCAAACCAGTTGTCATTCTGACTCCTGTAAGGAGCAAAATCACTTCAAACTCAACATTTCAGCCTCTGAGGTGTCACACTGGAAATACCTCCCTGCTTTAACCTGCACAGTGAAAAGCAACTGGAAAGAAATGAGTCACTTCACCTGCTGGTTTCCAACACTGACATTCAGGGTTTTCTCAGGGACAACAGTTTTTCTAAAGAACATATTTGTCTTTGGCATCCACTTTGTGATTTCTAGACTTACTTTGAGGTGCTGACAGCCCCTCTGGGAGGTGTTTCTCTGTAGAGCCACTCACAGTGGTCTGGAGTGATCCCAACTGTCCTTGGAGCCGCTGACAGATCCCCTTTGCAGCAGTGCTTGAAAGCTGTCACACCTCTGCTGTCAGCCCCTGTCCCACTGATTTAATGAAATCACAGCAAGCAAAAGAAAGAAAAGACAAGATAAAAGCACTTCACTGGTAACTTTGAATGTGAACTCCTTTGTTTGCCCACAAAACAGGAGTTGAGCCAGTGACACCACACAGGTTTGCACTGTCTATACTGAGAGAGAATGCCCTCACGCTCAGTGGAGCCCTGGGAGAACCTGAATCCCACCTGGATAACATGCAGAAGCCACCACACAAAACATCTGATTGAAATTATCAATTTGATTAATTGTCCTAGAAACAGCAATTTTGACTGTAGTAGATTGAGTACAATCTGGGGAAATGACTTTTTTCCGCTTTCACGTGAGGGTCCAGCTATAGTTTTCTCCACTAAACTCAGGGGAAGTTATTGCTTATATTTATATAAAAGTAAGTGGTCCAAGGAGTTACCAATCTTTATTAATCTGAGCCCAAATCCTGGTCCCAAAAGAACTCTGGGACTCCATATATTGTACATATGATGCACAAAATTATTGGGAAAATGTACTTCCAAAACTTCTTAGTTTAAATACTGCTTGAAAGTTTTCTGGGGTTTAATAAGTCCTACAGTAGCAGTGGAATAATAAAAGAAAAACCTTTGGGATCATTGTATTTGAATATTACAGGGACCTTTTTTACATTTTTAATGACAGGCTGAAAGAAGACAAAGCTCTGTATTTTCCTCCTTACAAAGCACTTTGGAATCTATGGATTTACAGAGCTGCTGCAGAACTGAGTATTGCTGTGGGTTGCTACCAGGGAAGATATCATGGAACTGATCCTTTTTTATGATGTTGTATTCAATTACTACCCATTCTAATCTTTCTCCTTCCTGTGTTTCGACTTTTGTATGTTTTAAAAGAAGGTGGGGTCCAGGGAAAGGGAGAGGCATTTTCCCTGGTAAATCAATTAACTTCTCCAATTCAGCAAACTGTAAAAAAATACAATAACTCTCTTTAAATGTTCCATTAGGGTCCAGTAACAGCTCATTAGATTATACAAGGTATGTGTAATTGCCCAGAAAAGATGCACTACCTTCCTCCAATGCTTAATTTAATCTCCACTCTTTACATACAACTATAACCACCCACTAAACAAGATTCATGGCCTCCTGCCCAATGGTATGTGTGTGTGAGTCTGTGTTTTAAACACAAGAACGTGTTTAAAAGTCAAAACTGGCTTTATTTGCAGTTGCTTGCTAGAATCCTACCAAACAAGTCTGTGGAGGGTAAGCATTGTCCTTACAAGACATTTTCAAGTTGATTGGAAATACCTCACTGTATTTTGTGTTTGCTGCACGAAGTGATTGTCCCCCTGCGCTGGGCACTGGTGAGGCCACACCTCTAATCTTGATTTAAGTTTTGGGGCCCTCACTACAAGAAAGACATTGAGGGGCTGGAATGTGTTCAGAGAAGGGGAATGGAGCTGGGGAAGGGTCTGGAGCACAAGTCTGAGGGAGTTGGGGTGGCTCAGCCTGGAGAAAAGGAGGCTCAGGGGAGACCTTCTCACTTTCTATAACTACCTGAGAGGAGGGTGTAGGGAGGGGAATGTTGGTCTCTTCTCTCAGGTAACAAGAGACAGGATGAGAGGAAAAACCTCGAGTTGCACCAGTGGAGGTTTAGATTGGATATTAGGAAAAATATCTTGGCTGAAAGCGTGGTCAAGCATTGGAATAGGCTGCCCAGGGAAGCAGTGGAACCACTATTCCTGGAAGTGTTCAGAAGGTGTGTGGGTGTGACACTTGAGGACATGGTTTAGCGGTGGCCTTGGCAGTGCTGGGTTAATGGTTGGGCTGGATGATCTTCGAAGTCTTTATCAACCTTAATGATTCTCTGATTCTACATGAGATCTGGAAGATACCAAGCTCTACTGGAGAAATCCATGAAAACAAGATAACTGTTAGATTCTGCTGTTAGATTCTGCTGTTAGATTTTTATGTAATACATGTAATTTGGATTTGGGGTTTTTTTGTCTTAGCTGCCATGGTAGATGGAGAGACTTTAATTTCTCCTACACAGTCTTCGCTTTACCTCTTTCTGGGTTCTTCCCCTTAATATTATAACATTAATTATTAAATGTCCTTCCCCTCTCCTCCAACACAGAAATGAGGTCCCCATGACCAGCTCTGCCTCTGTTCACTTCTGCAGCCTTCACAGCTGAGTGTTTGAGCATCCTGGAGTCCTCAGGACCAGGGTAGTTCACACTTCCAGGTTTGAGAGTTACAACACTTCCTGAACCCTGATCCCTCATTTTGTGCCAGGGAAGATCATTTTCATGGAAAACATTGAAAGCATTGGAAAAGGCAGCACATGGAAGGAGTGGAGTCACCATCCCTGGGAGTGTTCAAAAAATGTGTGGAGATGACATTTGAGGAGATGGCTTAGTGGTGGACATGGCTTAGCAGGGAAGAGGGTGAGGGTTAATGGTTGGACTTGATGAACTTAAAGGTCTTTTCTAACCTTAGCAATAGCATGATTCCATGATTCAATCCGAAAGGGATCCTTGGGATAAATTCCTGATTTTCCAATATTAAGAACTCCATCTCCAAATGAATCAGGATAACAGGTAGTATTTTTTTAATTATCCTTACTATTATTTTCACTTTTCTGCAAGTGAAGAGACTCAACCAGCTTGCCCAGAGAAGTTGTAGATGCCCCATCCCTGAAACTGTCCGAGGCCAATTTGGGCTCTGAGCAACCTGGGATAGTGGAAGGTTCCAAGCCCCTTATGACCTATAAGATCCCTTCCAACTCAAAGCATTCTATGATCCTATAAAATCTCTCACAATAAAACCTATTTTCCTATGATCAACCAGATAGAAAAGGAGAAACAGCTAAACATCTCTGTTCCAGCAAGAGCTAGACATTGGACTATTTTTTTTTAAGTAAGCATATTTTACTAAAAAAGAAACTTCTCCTGCACCCCCATGTCTCCTTCATATTTGCTGATAACTATAAAAAAATATTTCTTTTTCTTTGTAAAATCTGATTGGCAAAATTTCGAGTGGTCAGAGCTCCAGGCCAATGCAAGAATTTGGGAGGGATATAACATTGTATTTCAGTCCCAGTTCTCTAAAAGGTGTCTCTTCTGCTGCTCTGCTTCATTCCATGTTTTCCCGTTCCTGATACAAGGCCATTTTTCTTTCTGTGCCAGCCTGCACAGCACATCAATCCTTATTTGGAACTCCTGTGATTTCCAGACTATTGGTTTATAAGAAACAAATAGAGGTTTCAAGTTCTCCCTGATGCAGCATCTGTTGGACAGTCACTGACTTTGCTGGGATGAAAAATGTTAAAAAGGCACTGGGGCAGAAAATACAACACTTTCTGAAGTGGCATGGTGGGCATGTGTCACACATACAGCTGGGGATGGGAAATTAAAACAGGCTGGAAAACACTGATTTACTCTCTGCAAAAATAATCCTGTGGAAGCTTAAAGTCTTCCTACAGTTTATCGGGTAGTGATTCATCCTATGAAAAGTAGTGTTTCACCATGAAAAGTTTCTTCTGGGTGGATGAGATTTGCTGAAACAAAGTGAGGCACCTGGACAGTAATACAGGCTCCAGTTGAATTAAGGCAAAAGGGACTCATCTTGCACCTGGAATAAAAATAAACACTTTCCCACACTCTAGCTGGGAATATTTTCAGAGACCTCTGACAATTTAATGTGCAGGCTGTATTGAGAGGTAAGACATAAGGAAAAAGCTGACTTATAGAGCTTTATTTTTCTGCCTGGGTGCCTCAAAGATTTAATAGAGTTCAGTGAGAACAAATGTTCTTAATTCTCCAGTCAAGATTAAAATATTGGAAAATGGGGAAACATTGAAATAGACTCATGAAAAGAAAAGGCTTTGCTGTTAAATAGTCTCACAAAATGAGCTTCCTGGTTTCACAGAACATTTTTATTTGACTCCAATAGAAGCATCTGGTTTAGTGTTGGTTTAGAGTTGGTGAGTCTTTAAGTAAATTTCAGAAGGAAAAATCATTTCAGAAGTAAATTACTGAAGAACTTCATTATGAAAGTTCTTCCCTTCCTGCCTTCTTGTCTCCTCTTCCTTCTCCTCCTTCTCCTCCTCTCCCTTTATTTCTTCCACATAATTTCTCTTTCACTTTTTCCTTTGCTCTTTCTCTTAATTACTACCAACTTGTATGATCAGCACAAAACTTTGCAACCAACTAATACGCAACAGTAAAATGCTCTGTAGCGTCTTGTGGAAGAAAATGTACAAACTCACGAGCAAAATCAAAAAATGAGTTGGTAAAATTCACACAGGAAAAAGCAGGGAGGCTCAGTTCTTCCTAATCCCAGGTTTGTATTTTTCTGCTTCTCTTTTTGCCATTTCCACACAACACAATAAAGGACAGAGACCACTGAAGTGGGGCATAATTTTGGAAATCAGTCTTTGCTTGTCTATTCATCTAAACTTCCTAAAAGTTTAGATGAATAGACCAGAAGAGATGGATGTTAGACACTTCTACATGGAAAGTGCTTCTGTATGAAGATGGTGAAGGGTCTAGAGGGGAAACCATACAAGGAGCTCTCTCTGGTGACAGAACCTGAGGGAGTGGCATGAAACTGCGTCAGAGAGGTTTAGGTTGGATATTAAGGAAAAGGTCTTCACCCAGAGAGTGATTGGGCACTGGAACAGGCTCCCCAGGGAAGTGGTCACAGCACCAAGCCTGGCAGAGCTCAAGAAGCATTTGGACAAGGCTCTCAGGCACACGGTGTGACTTTTGGGGATGGTCCTGTGCAGGGCCAAGAGTTGGACTCGATGATCCTTGTGGGTCTCTTCTAACTCAAGAGTCTATGAATCTATGATTCTATGTAATTCTTTACTAGAACACTCTTTAGGAGTCATTTGTGCCTAAGAAGTCATCAATCACAGTGGTAGCCCACAAGGCTGTCAGGGAATTTCTATAGGAACCCTTGGAGTGGTTTGGTAGATCATAGAATTATAGAATCCTAGAATCCTAGAATCAACCAGGTTGGAAAAGACCTCTGAGATCATAAAGTCCAACCCTTTATCCAACACTGCCATGGTTCACAGACCATGGCACTAATGCCATATCCAGTCTCATCTTAAAAATCTCCAGGGACAGATAATCCACTACTTCCCTGGGCAGCCCATTCCAATGTCTGATCACTCTTTCTGTAAAAAATTTCTTCCTAATATCCAACCTAAACCTCCCCTGGCACAGCTTAAGACTAAGCCTTCTTGTCCTACTGCTGGTTCCTGGGAGCAGAGACCGACACCCTCCCTGGCTTCCCCCTCCTTTCAGGGAGTTGCAGAGAGCAAGGAGGTCTCCCTTGAGCCTCCTCTCCAGGCTGAACAACCCCAGCTCCCTCAGCCTCACATCACTTGTACTCCAGACCCTTCCCCAGCCTTGTTGCTCTTCTCTGCACCTGCTCCAGCCCCTCCATGTCCTTCCTGAGCTGAGGGCCCAGAGCTGGACACAGCACTCGAGGCGTGGCCTCACCAGAGCTCGGTACAGGGGCAGAATCACTTCCCTGGACCTGTTGGCCACACTGTTCCTGATCCAGGCCAGAATCCATTGGCCTTCTGGGCACACTCTGGCTCCTGTTCAGCTTCCTGTCCATCCAAACATCCAGGTCCCTTCCTGCCTGGCTGCTCTTCAGCCACTCTGTCCCAGCCTGGAGCTGCCAGGGGTTGTTGTGGCCAAAGTGCAGGACACTGCACTTGGCCTTGTTGAACCTCATCCCGTTGGAATCAGCCCATGGATCCAGCCTGTCCAGGTGCCTCTGCAGAGCCCTCCTGCCTTCCAGCTGATCGACACTCCCCCCCAGCTTAGTGTCATCTGCAAATTTGCTGATGGTGGACTCAATCCCCTCATCCAGATCATCAATAAAGATATTAAATAGAACTGAGACCAACACTGATCCCTTGGGGACACCACTAGTGACTGGATCCCAGCTGGGTGCAGCACCGTACCCCACCACTGTCTGAGCCTGTCCCTCCAGCCAGTTCCTAACCCAGCAGAGAGTACCCCTGTCCAAGCCACGGGCTGCCAGTGTTATACAGAGACCTTACCTGGGAGGAGTTTAAAAAATAGCAGGAATTTGAAAATTCAAGTAACATGTGCAGAGAGATAGGAGAAGGTAGTTTCTCTTTTCCCAGATGTTATGACTACAAGTTTTAGTAAGGGAAATACAGCTTCCATGAAATGTGCAGATCTGAACATGTTTCTGTCCTTTGAATCCTTGGCCCTGGAGAAGTGAGGTACAACCAATTCTGATTTCTTTTAAAGGTGGAGATACAAACTGATTCAGGAAAGAATTCCTCTTCCAGTCCATGTTTAAGTTCACTCTGGAAATCCAGCAGAATCAAGCAAATACCTAATTGGTAATTTAGTGAATGAATGTAATAACAAATAACAGGATAAATATTGGGGGTTTTTCCTCATAATTGAGTTATTAATTAATATAATAATGTAAGTCTCTTTAGTAAGGTATAGATTTGGCTCTACTTCTTTTAATTGATCTAACTCCCACCTGACTTCTTTGAAAGGCCAAGGCTACTCTTGCCAGGGCCAAGTGTCTCCTGGAGTTTGATACTGGTTAAAAAAATCACTCAATTTAATCCTGGACAAATGTAAATCTAATATCCTGCAGTGGATGTTAGTGAGGTTGCTTCACTCCAGCCCAAGTCTCATCAGAAGTAATCAAGCACAGCAATGGAGAGATTGTTCTCTGTAAGACAAGCGACAAGCAATCTCTGAACCAAAGTTATATTTCCATGCTTGGTATGAAAACACAGTGATGAAAAAAATGATAAATATTGGGGGCACAGTGGTGGTAAATTGAAGAGCATTAGGAATTAAATGGTAGTGAGAAATGGGAACTGACACAATTTAAATGAAATTTTAAATACGGGTTTATTCACTGCGAGAGGTGTTTGGACATAAACCACTTCTCTCATCTTATTTGACACCCTCCTCCCTCTGAAAATGTTTGAGAGTGCTGTTTTCCAACTCTATGGGAGCATAAAAATGTAAAGGTAGGTGTGTTCACGGGAAAATTTCACATCTGTGTTTGGTCAAAATCTTCTATAACACCTCAGCATCTTTATCATCCCTCAGAGTGTGAATAAGTGATATCTTCCTTTTTTATCTTCCTTATTTTTTTTTCTTGGCAGAAAACAAAGCCCATACATGAAATATGACTTAAAATATTCTGTGACCTGGGATGAATGGACAGATGAACAAACCATCTTATGGGAGCAGTTTTAACAATTACTAAAACTTGTACCAATTTTTCATAATAAACCCCATCATCTACTACTAATAACACTAATACAGGCACTTGTGGTAATAATAACCCAAATTTAATAACAAGGCAGCAATCATAGTTTGCTCTGTGTATGTGTTCCAACCACTTTACATACATTATAAAGTCATGGATCATTTGAGAGTGCCTGAGGGAAAATAACGTGGTAAATGCTGTATAAGTGTTATCTCCAAGCATTGAACCCGTTCACTATGAGCTGATGCCACGTTCAGCTCATATTAAAGCTTAACTTGTAAAAAAAGAAAACAAGAACAAGGAATTTTAAGCAGGACTTGCTTTACTTTGGGTGTGCATCTGCAATTCTCACACATAATTAGAGCACAGAAATGCCACGAGTGACCCCGTCTCATCAGGAATTCAGACATCACAATGTTGAACATGAAGCCCTCGCAGTATTACTCCCCAGTGAGCCAAGTGCAATATTACAAATCTTACTAAAGAACATTGTTCCTAGTGTAGAATACCTAAGAGACAATTAAATCACCATTTGTGATGAGAAGAAAGAAAGAAAGAAAAAAAAATCTAAGGATCAAATAAACCATTTGAACTGGAACTTCTCAATCTGTTTCATGTGGGCAACTTGTTGCATGGGTGGGAGAGCTCAGGGACATCAGAGAGGAGAGCAGCACTTCCAGGGCTGTGCTCAGGTGACAGCCCTGAAGGGAGATCAGCTGAGGGCTCCCCGAGAAATAAAAATTTCCCTTTTTAGCATCAGTGGAGAGCCGGGAGTTAAATCTCTAAGCAATTTCAAGCATGCAGCTCAGGTCTCTCAGCCCTTTGCTGGGCACATCAATCACGGGAATCAGGTACTTAAGTCAGTCCAATTATTTCCGTTGATGTCCTTGAGCTTGATTAAGATCTGAATTTCGACTTCATGTATTGTCTGCTCAGAGGGGGAGCATTTAAACAATCAAGACTGGCCTCAGAGAACAAATAGATGATATGAGAGTTGAGACTTTCCAAAGCCTTCAGAGTGGTCTTAACGCTGAGGCTCCAGAGCACTACCTGCTGAGTACTCTGAGAACTCCTCCAAAGAGGCAGGGATTCAAAGGGAAGAAAATAGAAAACAGAGCATTTCCCACCTTGGCTGTTAGCTGACCTTCTGGAGTGGGGGATATGAGTTTTAAGCCCATGAACTAACAGGAGGATACAGACAGGAGCCTGGGGGAGTGCTCTGTCACAGAGCAGCGGTAGCAGCATGGACTTTGCATTTGAATGTGTTTTTAAAAAGAGCTCATGACTGAATTCGGTGAGGACCTGGTCCTTACTGTGTCTTGGCTGTGTTCTGAGGAACTCTGGGGTGCACAAGTCCTGTTTGGGATCTGACCCTTTCCTTTCCATGAGTAATCCTTCTGTTCCATTTCTAGTAAATTTATTTGAACCAGAATTTATCCCTGGACTGAGGTGTGGAGGGTATTTGCACTCTTTCTCTCTGCAGTTTGAAACAAGCTTTCTCATTGTTTCTTCTTGAGTGTAGATGAGGACACAGAGGGTAAACAAGATTTGTGAATGGGATTGTGACTTGCTGACTGTTTACACATTTCACAGTCTAATTTAACTAAACCTTGCATTTTCTGAATGGCTGCAAAGATGGTCTCTCTCCAGTCTATCCAGGTCTTGCTCTCATATCCCAGAAAATTTAACTGCTTTGTTTTGGTGTTTTGATTATTTGTTTGTTTCTTTTTAGTTTTGGTTTTGGTTTTGTTTTACCTTAATCTGAAAACAATGTCTTGGAGTTACCTGAAAGTTCCAAGAAACTTCATCCATATCTGGGGTGGAATTCAGATGCCTACACAGAAATGTCTAGAGGCAATTTAAAAGCCCTTGGTATCTGCTGGTAGACATGAGTATGGAAGCTGCACTGCTGCCTTGAGTTTGAGTTTGCAAGTGGATGTCAGGCAGGACACACTGAGACATTTCAAATGGCACCAAAAACAGTGTTTTGGCACTCAAGTTAATTTCTTGGAGGAACGGAGACACAGAATATAAATTTCTAGTTGCTTAAGGAAAAATAGAAATTAAACTAGTATTTCCAGTAAAACAGGTGAATTATTCCTATGGCTGTGTGATTTGTAGGAGTCACAGAGGACATATATTTAAGGAATCCCACAACTTTGCTATTTAAGATGCTCATTTTAAAAGTGGCTAAAGCAGACACAAGGGAAAGGTTTCATTCCCTAAAAACCAAGTAACAACTAGAAGGGTGACCAGAACTACTTACTCTGTTTTTCTTTGTACACATAATCAAGTTATCCCAACTCAGTGCAAATAAACATCCAATATTTGAGTTCATTAAAGATATCTTGACACAGATACTGCCTCCAGAGTATGGCATGTCACCTTGGTGTGACCTGTGACCTCAGCTCTGCTCCCTCACTTGCTGTGGGTTTGGGTTCAGGGTCACAAACTGTAACCACTACATGATTGTGGTCTTTTTTTCCATCAAGTAGAAACATTTCTACCAGGCAGTGAAATACTTATTTGTTGGTTAAAACAAGGCAGGTACGAGAACAGGGGTGTTGGGGAGCTGTGTGGTAATTGAAGGAGCTTTTCCCATAGGATTTATTTGTTTCTTTGTTTGTTTACTGTTGCAGAAACCTTTTACCACAGAAGAAGTGAAAGCAGCTTGAAACAAAGAGCTGGAGCAGGCTGAGCATTCCTGGAAATGCCACAACCACTTAGGATGACAAGGTCAGTTTATATGTGCTCCCTTTCTTCTGTTTGTGCTCTGATCTAATCAGCCAAATCCAGGCAAGGGGAAGGAAAACATCCCTGCCACAAACACTCAATTTGTAAACTTCTCCACTTTCTCTCAGCCAGCAGGGATGTTCTCTGAACTGATCAGGACTTTTCCAGATGCCAGGATTCATGTTGTCATTGCAAGACTTTAGTTTTCTTTGGCCCCATTTTGAGGGGGAAAGAGAGGAATGGGGCAGAATGAATGGAAACAGGAGGCAGATAAGGAATACCCTTTGAGAGCCCTCAGTGCTTGACTACAATCTTATTTTCTAGAAGTCAGAAGATATTGAAGTGTCTGTTCAGGTCATGGTAAAACAGATCTTGCTCCTATTTTCACCTTTGTAAAACAGAGTTCTCAGAGAATCTCATGTCCAACCATTAGAAGCAGCCCGGATTCATACTGATTCAAAGCTCAGTTCATGGGAATTTTGGTCCCTATGATGTCTGGTGGAATTGATGTGGTTTCCATTCCATATGGAACCTACCCACCAGGTGAATTTTAGATTGGATATTAGGAAAAATTTATTTACTGAGAGGGCGTTCAGGCATTGGAACAGGCTTCCCAGGGAAGTGTTGGAATCACCATTCTTGGAAATGTTCAAAACATGTGTAGACTGGCACCTGGGGACATGGTTTAGTGGTGAACATGGTGGTGCTGAGTTTACAGGTGGACTTCTGATCTCAGAGATCTTTTCCAACTGAAACAATTCTATGATCCTGTATCCAGCAGAGCTGGGATCACAGTCTTTGCCTGAGAAGACCATGATGAACTCCCAGCCTGATATTTGCTATTTTACATTAGTCATAACTGGAACAAAATAAGGATATTCTGGGTTGAACATGTCATTTACAACATTTAACAGTAATTTATTTGTATAGGTTCCATAAGTAAAGAGGAGATGAAGTCTCAGACATGTATCTCTTCCTTCAGGTAAGCACTGATTGCATCAACTCACATCCTTTAATACCTCAGCATGAACCTCATAGGCCTCATCATTAACACCATACCATTAGCATATCTTTTGCATGGAAGGGGACACACCTCCCAAATATTTGATCAACATGCTGCAGAAGTTTGAGTATACTTCCACACTATTTTTTCCCCACTCAGGTCTTGGTCCCCTCACCAGATACACATCCTGTATGTGAGTTCACTCTTGGATTATTCTCACCAGTAAATAATTTTCCCCCAAAAGAAGAGAGGGAAATTCCCCCAAAATTCCCACTGATTGTGGGAATAGGCAGCTCCATAGGCATTATGGTAAAGGCTACACCAGCTGGAACTCACAGAACCTTGTACAATCCTCCAAAACCAATCCATCAAGCTGCTGGACTCCCAAATACCCAACAGATGCCTTCCTGCCCTGCTCTAAGGCAACACCTTAGAACTTTTTATGTCATGCTTTAATAATGTCTCTCTGGTGGGTTGTGACATCCTTTACACTGTTTCAGGCACTTCAAGCAGGGAAAACATAAAAATTTTATCATTCTGTATTACCACTAGAGGTTCTGTAACTACCCAAGGCTCAGAAGAGACACTTGTCTGCATGTCTAGGACTTATTTTATTAGGAGAGAACCCAAAACCTTGCATTGAAAGGCCACATTTTACCACTACTACACTCACCTGAACAGGATAAACTGAGAGAAATTACTAATGCTGATGTTGGAGAGCATCTCTGCAGAAGATTCCTCTGCCATGCTCTGCTTGTGCTATAGTAAAGAGTGAACATGTCCAGCCCACAGAAACTTTGTGATTACAAACAGTGACAGGTACAGAAACAGTCTTGTGAACAGGAGAGCTGAATGTCCCAGGAAGACCCAGAAACCCTGGATCTGAATGTTGGAGCACCATGTAGTGAACACAGGAGCTCACCTTTATTCTGTGTTGGTCTATCACTCAGCAGAAGAAAAAAGTATGTGGGGAAAGGTCAGCATATTCATGTTCTGTGCTGACTGCCATGCTTACACTAACTTCTTGCAAGTTGTAAATATTCAAGAAGAAGAGATTGTCCTCAGGTTTTTTCTTCTGGATATTGGAATATCTTAAAGAAATCCTCTCTTCTTGCTCTACAGAAAATATTTAAGAAGGTTGTCTACACTCTGATGTCAGCTGGTGGCAATAGAGAGGCCTCTGGAAGAAAACTGGTAGGACTCTAATACTGAATGCAGAAGCTAATGTACAAATGCCAAAAGAGTGTTCCCTGAGAGAAGAGAGACCTTTGTACTCATGAAGAATTTCTCTGTAACTCTTAGATGATCAGATTCTGTAATTTCCTGAAAAGTGCTAATCCACAGGGTTTTCTCCTCTTTCCCCCCTTAACTTGGAGATGTAGAACTTCATTCCTTATTCTATTTAGGCTGGAGGTGAATTAGGCTAATGTCTTCTCAAAATGTGAGCAACTTTGGATTTACAACACTACACTGATCTGGATTTACCTTTTCAATCTTTTAAAAATACCTCCAAGCCAGTCTGTGCTTTAAGAAGAGTATCAGAAGGTTGAGCTTTACAACCTCTTCCAAAATATACAGATCCTACCATCTAAATAATGCACTCTTGTGGCAGGACTTTCTGCCCAGGTCACAAAAGCCAGTGGGTTATGATAAGGAGGTCACCAGAGTTAATCAGGAAAGCAAAGCTGAAAAAAAGCCATAGAGGGTTTTTCTAAAGGAGCCTTTTCCTCACAATTAATTTATGAATACCTTGTCCTCTCCTACGCAAACACCTTAATGAAAGGTCACAACATTGCACTTAAACCATTGGAGCAAGAGGTAGGGCATGTGTCTTGTTTGGAAGAAAATAGGAAGCAACTGAGTAGCAGAAAGTTGAGCTTTACAACCTATCCCAAAACATGAGGATGTGAAAATGTTTGTGCATAAAAATGTGGCTCAGCTACTGTGGGAGATGAAGAACATCAGAAATTCTCAAGATGATGATGAAAGAACCCTAGTACAAGGAATGGGGTTCATCTCTTACTTCAGGGTTGAGATTCACCTTAATGAAGGCACTGATGGCACAGACTTGAACAGTTCACCTTGGGCTCCCTTGATAGTCAATAAGAGTGCAATCAATAGAATAAATGGAATTTATTATATGATTTGTGTCACCTCATAGGGACATTTAGACTTGGTCAGTTGAAGCCTAAGTAACACAAATCCTGCCACCAAGAACAGTACTGGACAACTTGACACTGCAGAGACAGATCCTTATATTGGGAACTAATAAAATAATAATAATATTTAACTTAGACTGTACCTGGATAGAATATCAAGAAATATCTTGGTCTGTATATAAGCTGTGCTTCCTTTCTGTGCTTGACAAAATTTTAAGATCCACACGTTTTACAGAATATTTGCTAGTTTTTACTAGTCTTCTTTCCTTAAATAAGCCCTTTTTGACCAACTGCTGATGACTTCCCTCTTGTTCATTGATCAAATTTCACTGAATCTGAAGATTTTTTTTGGTCTCCTTCACTACTTTCATCGTAACCTCCGAAACTCTTTGCAGTTCAGCCTGGCTCATTCTGCTCTCACTTTGTCTCATGCCCTCTGTCTTGTGAGTTCAGATCATGCTGTGTCAACCTTTTGCCTTTTTATCTTACACTCCTCCATCAGAGAATCACAGAATGGTTTGGGTTGCAAGGGACCTTAAAGAACATCTCATTCCAACCTTCCACTAGACCAGGTTGTTCAGAGCCCCATCCAACCTGGCCTTGAACACTTGCAGGGATGGGGTAGCCACAGCTTCTCTGTAGAACCACACCTGTTCCAGGGCCTCACCCCCCTCACAGAAAATAATTTCTTCCTAATATCCAATCTAAACCTGTTCTCTGTCAATTTGAAGCCATTTCACCTTGTCCTGTCACTCCAGGCCCTTGGAAATAGTCTCTCTCCATCTTTCTCATAGGGTCCCTTCATGTACTGGAAGGCTGCAATTAAATTAATCCTAAACCTTCTCTTCTCCAGGCTGAACAATCCCAATTCTCTCAGCCTTTCCTCACAGCAGAGCTACTCCATCCCTCTAATCAACTTGGTGGCCTCCTCTGGACTTTCTCCAAGAGCTCCATGTACTTCCTTTGCTGTGGACCCCAGAGCTGAATGCAGTGCTCTGGGTGGGGTCTCACAAGGGAAGAGCAGGGGGCCAGAATCCTCTCTCTCTCCTGCCCACACAGCTTTGGATGCAGCCCAGGACACAGGTGGTTCCTGGGCTGTGAGGGCACAGTTGTCACCTCATGTCCAGCCTTCTCATCCACCAGCACCACAGGTCCTTCTCCTCAGGGCTTCTCTGCCTCTGTTCATTCCCAGCCTGGATCGATATGGGGGGTTGCCCCCAGTTGCACTTGATCTTGTTAAACCTCGTGAGATCCCCATGGCCCACTTCTTGAGCTTGTCCAGGTCCCTGTGGATGGCATCCCAGTCCCTCTGGATCATCCTGAATGACTTCTTTTCCATTTGATTTCATGACAGAGCTTCCAATCCTGAGCTCCTTGTCAGCAAAGAGTCCCACAGCACCACTGACCAGGGCAACTAAATACAACCCAGGGATTTCCATTAGCCATTCCAAATCATCATAAGCACACCAGTTTTATTCATAGTTCTAAGGTCTTCATAGCATTGTTGTCCAGATGACTCGTGGGATAAACAGGGCCATATTTTAAGCTCTGTTACAGCTCTAAAGAAACTGAAATCTAATTAGAGGACAGTGAGTTATCAGCAATTTAGGCTGATGCTGACAACATATGACAGTAAAGAGATGGTTTTGATTGACCTGACAGAGAAGAGAGGATCTCTTTTATATATATTATGGAAATGCTAGTATTAAAATGAGAAGGAATAAGAAGAGAGACCTCCCTAATGTCTCAGTTTATAGCAATTCAGAGAGACACACTTATGAGTCACATTCATTGGAGTGGGGTGGAAAGAAACGGCATTTCCTGTGCCATTTGTGTATTTTCAGCTCTCCTCCACAATACTTAAGTTTTCTGCCTGAATAAATCATTTTGGAAGTCCCAATAGCAGGAGAGTGATGAATGGGAAGGCAGAAGGAGAGTGAAAATGAGCTAATCTCCCCAACACATTAGAATAATAATTCTTTGTCAGACCTAACATTCAATGAAAAATGACTCTTGCTAACACATTAGTCTGGAAAGGAGGTTTTGATAATACAGTAGTGGAAAGCAAAGTTTCATCTCTGAATTGAAGAAAAGTGAGGGGATTAGAGGATCACTCAGAATAATTCAGATGCAATGAAATACAGTTCATGGCAAGAGCTAACACAGTAGCCCCAATCAAATCTGATTTAGGCACAGTTAGTAGTCTTCTAATTACCGGCAATTGATTTAACTAAAGAGTTTCCTGCAAATCTGTAAGAGTGAAAAAAGGGATTTATTTGATTTTTTTTGCTTTTACAATGAAAACCATGCTTTTCCAATGGTTTCTATTTTCCACGGAAAAGAACTAATAGTTCGACTGGGAAGTTTTTACAGAATAAATCAAAGATATTTTACCATCAGCAAACCATCAGGAATGGAAATACTTTTCCTAGAAAGTGGTTTGGGATTGTATGTGAACAAATGTGTCCTCAAATACCAAATCAGTGCTACAAAGAAGATAAATGGAGTTCCCAGACCGTTTTTAGCTACTTTGGAGTTCTTTATTTTCAGGTAACACAAATTCATGAAACCAGGTTAGGTGTTGAGACAACTTCCCTGAGGCTCAGTGACTTGAGCCTGGATTTTGTCATTGCTGACACGAAGTGCCCTGAGTTGCAGGAATTCCTCCAGGAAATATAAAATATCTACAGGGAGACAGGCAAGAAAACTGGAGGCCTAATTGTCCCCCTGTGTAGATAGTTTAAACAAACATGTCTCCCTCAATTTATGGGAGCCAGGCTGATGCTGCTGCCTGTCCTCACTGTGAAGGAGTGAGTCTTCCAGAAAAGAATCAAGTAGCAGACATGTGACACTTTCACCTCCATCCTGAATCAGACACAGAGTGACCAGCAGGACCAGGGCAGGGATTGTCCCCCTGTCAGCACTGGTGAGGCCACACACCAGGTTCTGGGTTCAGTTGAGGGCCTCTCACGATAAGAAAGAAATTGAGAGGCTGGAGTGTGTCCAGAGAAGGGAACAGAGCTGGGGAAGGGTCTGGAGCACAAGTCTGATGAGGAGCAGCTGAGGGAGTTGGGGGGGCTCAGCCTGGAGAAAAGGAGGCTTCAGGGAGGACCTTATTGCTCTCTACAACAACCTGAAAGGAGGGTGTAACAAGGTGTGTGTCATTCTCTTCTCACGGGTAACAAATGACAGGATAAGAGGAAATAACCTCAAGTTGCACAGGGAGAGGTTTGGATCAGATATCATAAAAATTTTTTCATTGAAATGGTGATTGAGTGTTGGAACTGGCTTCCCAGGGAAGTGGTGGAATCACCATCCCTGGAAGCGTTCAAATGAATGCAGATGTGGTGCTGAGGGACATCCTTTAAATGGATGCATTCAAAGTTCAGAACACTCAGCAATCTGTTGAAGTATATTTTGTTTTTAACCCTAAACCTGGCAGGAGCCGATGTGAATATCCTGAAAGTACTTTGGGCTTCGAAGCAGCAATTTTATATACTTGTAGCATTAGTTGACATGAGCTATGAGAACTCAATAGGACTTTTACACAGGTGTAAAAAGGTGAGAGGGCATGTCCTTGTACATCAGATCATGGTGATAACAGGATGGTCTTCAGGATGTGTCTCCCTGAACTCTGTTTTCACTGTTATTATAAGTTGTATGAATGTTGATGACTTCATCCTTGGGAAAGGTACTTTTTGCTTATCAACCTTCATTCCAGGTTGGCCAAGGTTTCTGTCATTGGAAGTAATGACAGACAATCTACATTCAAACAGTTGCTTTGTCAAAGTGCCCCCTCCAAATAATCCAACTGCCAGAAGTCACACACAAATGTAATCATTTCAAGGCTTATATTAACCTTAAGTGTTTCCTTTTAAATGAGTAGGAAGGTAGGAAGAAGGGTTGGGCACCTCGACTTTGAGCACAAGATAAAGTAAAGATCAAGATAATTTCTAAATTGTTCTAATCTCATGCCTCAGTGCTTTAAAGGAGCCCTTTAGAGTCAATTTACTCTTTGATCATTGACTAAAATCTAATAACTGTGGCAGCAAATGAGGTGTGAAATGCTGTCAAAATCACTTCAACAATACCTGTGTGGTACTAAACATTTTCATCCCCGTGGTAAGAGTTTGTAGAAAAAGCCAGAGTTTATCAATTGATGGCTTTAGAAATCAACATGATTTTGCATTGAAAAACACTTACATTGTCCACCAGGCATTTTATTTAGAGTCCAAATCAAGGGAAACTCCCACGTGGTGACAAACACATTGATGGATATCGATATTCATTTTTGCCCTCCAGAATATTATAAATAGTCGATAATGGAACAATTACAAAGTTTTGTAAATGTAGTATTCCTTTTTCTTACAGACTTCCAGAGAGATTTTAAAAATTGATATTAATAGGTCAGAATGTTTGCTTTATTTTTTATCTCAAGTCAATATTTAAGTGCTTTTTTTTCAAGGAGATACCAGGTAACGGACTGCAAGTAGCAAATTCCAAAATTGGCTGCCGAGTTTCACTCTATAACTGGAATTATCTCTTGGGGCTGCAGCAAACAATGTGTGTGTCAGCTTGGATGTAGCATGGAGAGAAGATTGATTTTTGTATTCAGGAGTCCTACATTCTTTGTTCAGCTTTTGCCTCAAATTTAATGTGTGACTTAGTGCATTCTCTGATATATTCAGTCTTCAAAATCTGTGCAACCTGAGGAATAACACTGTCTGACAATGTTCTTTTGTGCATGAATTGGATGATATGTGTAAATACAGATGGTTGCAGACTTTCCAACAAGTAGTGCCTTAAAATTAAAAATTTCATAAAAGTCCTTCAAGTTTAAAATTGCTTTTTTTTTATCAAAAGCAAAATGATATTTTTATTTTCTTTTCCACTGAACTGAAATACTCTATTCTTTCTGAAGAACCAAAATAAAATATGGTTGAAAATTTACTTCCTTTTCCACTCTTTTCTTCATTTTATATTTCCCCTTCTTTTATACAGGTCATTAATACTTTATACCTCTTTCTGAATTACTATGAGATCTTTGAATGTGAGGCACAATGTAAGCATGAAGTACCAGCTCATGTATATCACAATTACAGTCCCAGGCAGAACTCAATAAGCAGAGGGCATATCTGATAATGTCTCATATTCTGTCAGAATAAGGAAAAAGTACACAATAAAAAAGCTTAGAGGTGACCCACAGGGAAAGTAATAACTTCTAACAAATCTGGCATTTGTTCCCAGTAGAAAAATAATGAAGGAAACTGAAAGATGAAGAGAAATTAAAGGAAAAAGTTATGTCTTGTAAAATATTTAGAGAGACAAGTTCAATTGCTAGTGAAGACAGGGGCATTTTACAGGGCCAGAATTGTTCTCTTAGTTTTTGGTTTCTATTCAGATAAAGAAAGGAATTACAGGATGTACCAAAGGCATATTTCTCCCTCTTTGTCAGCAAAGGCAACAGAAGTTTTGTGACTGAAATTGAAATACAGCTATTTTTTTTTCCTCTTCTTTAGGTCACCTCCATATCTGAATGAATTTAAATGGCATTGTTTGGAGAATGTTGAACAACACATTTCCTTTTGGACTGAACATGATCAAATATGTTTATTCTCTATGTCCAAGTAGAGATTAGAGACCATTGCCACTACATCCTGCCCAGTGCCACTGACACCATGCAGGGTGATGGTAGATCAGGCTGCCTGGAGGAATGGCAGTGGCACAATTGGGTGAAACTACCCGTTAATCTTTACAGCTGTCATTATTGCTGTTGTTGTTATTATTATTATTATTATTATTACTATCCTGGAGGAAGGTATACTGAGCTAAGCACCCTGTCGTGCTGCTGTTGCTGGTATGACTCTCCGCACACCCAGTAGCCCAGGAGAAGGTGGTTGTGACACTGCTGTGACACTGCTGTGACTCTGCTGTGACACTGCTGTACAGGCCAACCGCTCATTTTATGGTCTGAAGCTCTGCCAGCACTCACCCTGTTTTGTCATTCCTGCTTATATCACCTTGAAATGGGGCTTTGATGTTTTGCTATCCCTGTTGTCGGTACTTTTTGAGATTGATTCAGCTCGTGCTTTACTTTTGAGCAACTGGCAAGTCTGTTCCACAGAGCCGTGGTTGCACTGGGAAGAAAAGACGCTTTAGGTCAGTCTGTGCTTTCCTGTCACCTCCCTGTTGCTCTCAAGAGCAGGTCCTCTCCTGTTTCACTTTCCCAAGTGGTTACACTGCCACTGCTACTCCAGTGAAGATACTCCGTGGTCTTCAGATCCCCATCAGGAACAATTCCCAAAATGTAGGTGATATTTTCTCTGTTCTAGATTTCTATTTCTAATTCTATTTCTACTCCCATTTCTATTTTTATTTCTATTTCTATTCCTATTCTTTTTTCTGATGCACGAATTTTATTTTATATTTTAATACAGCTAAAATAATTTGTGTCTGTCTCTGGTGTATTGCCCTTTGATCTGAGTTGTTCTCAGTGATTAATCCATTACACATACTCAGGTTGTGATCTTGTTAAACAGTTGAGTTATTGTTTACGTATGAGAATGAGAATAGTTGCCAGATCTTGGAATGTGGGTACAGTTTCTTACCAGCCTCTGTAAATATATAGTCCAAGATGGGAACTATTAATTTACTCTTTTCTTGAAAAGACAACCTCTGCTGTTTTCTGATTATTTTCTTTTTTTTAAAATTTTTTTCTAAAGTCCCTTTTTTGATCTTTTATCTTTTTTTTGGCAGGCAGAGGTATCTGCCTTTAATCAAGAAACTCTTTCCTTTTTTTACAGTCTGTTCAAAAGTTCATAAAATGGTCTTTTCTGAGTCAGATCAAAATTAGAATCTAAAAAAAACAGAATGAAAAATACCACATGAGCTCATTCTAATGATGGAAGTAAGATCCACTAACACCATCTGACTGTTGCATGACTTATTTTTGTTGCTGCCCTGGGGGCCCATAAACTCCCACATCTGCTCTTTGCTTTCCCTTCTTAGCCTCCTGAATTCCTTGGATGGTTCATCTGTCCTGCTGAAAACTGAGCGTTCACCTCCTGTATATCCATTGATCAACACAATTATCCTGTTTGCTCTTCTTTCTCTTCCTCACAAAGTGAAATAGGAAATAAATAAAACAGAAATCACAGAAATTTGTGCATTATTCAATAAATGCCTCCTCATAACCTGACACACAGGATACTTGGCAGTGTGAATATATTTTGACTCTAAGGTGATAGTGAGACACTTTATTAAGCATGAAATATGAGTGCTCATCATGCTTCTCTCATGCACGAACATACAGCCAGACAATCCCGTGTCTCTGAATAATTCATCTGTCTCTCCAATAGACATTTAGTCACCCAACCATGCGTTACTGGCTACTGTTCACATTTGTCATGTGATGGTTGGTCTCTTTCTGAAGGTCTCCTCAAGAAAACCACCAGCCATTGCAGTGTTTCACCTTATTATGATCTTATTTTTGCTTTACCTGTGTGCATCACTCTGAGTTTGCTTCAAAAAACCTTGCAGGAGGTGAAACTTCCCACAACCTGTTAGGTGACTGAGCTCGTTTTTCTACCACAACTGTGCTTTTGTAAAGCTGTCGAGCTCATCAGAGCGTGTGGAGAGGAACTGGGATGGACTTTAGTTCCTTGGGAATTAATTACTTTGTCTTGCCAGTTTCTCTAGCAATGGTTGCCTATTCTCTTCTGAGATTCTTGCAATAGAATGTCTGCTGTTACAGGTTGAGAATTATCACCTGAAGAGTTATGGATGTTGCTCCAGAGGAGCCATGGAAGGGTTAACACAGTGGCAGGAAAAGGGGTAGACACTGATAAGTGTGTGGATTAACAATTTAAATTATATTGCTGATAGTTTAACTTGTTCAACTTGGAGAAGAGAAGGCTGAGTTGTGACCTCATCACAATCTACATCTTCCTCGAGTGCGGCAGCAGAGGGGAAGGTGCTGATCTCCTCTCTCTGGTGACCAGCAAGAGGACACATGGAAATGTTGTGAAGCAACTTCAGGGGGAGGTCAATTTGGACACTAGGGAAAGGTTCTTCACTGAGAGGGGGAAGAGGGTCAGTCACTGGAACAAACTCCTCAGGAAAGTGGTTATGGCACTAAGGAGCTTTTGGATGATGCTCTCAACCCTATGGTTTAGTTTTAGGTATCCTGTGAGGTGCAGGAAGTTGGACTCAGTGATCCTTGTGGGTCCCTTCCAACTTGAGATATTCTATGATTTTATTATTGTTACCTTCTCTGTACAAAAACACTTTACCCACATTGTTATCTTCTTTATGACTAGACTAATGATGACGCTTGAGTTAGACTGTTTAGATGTAAACTATACTAATAATAAATTCTTGGGTTTACTTAATACATATGTAAGATGTGCTTACCCTCTGCTCATAAACAAAATTTAGAACATAACAACCATGGCTGCCTCTTCAGACCTGCATATGTTGTCATAACTTCCAGGTGACACCTGTAGATACGTAGACAGTTTGGATTTGGGCTATAAAGCATCTTGGAGACAATCCTATAGACCTCTTGCACTGTTTGGTATTCAGCAAAATATTTGTGTAGAGAGTAGAGGAGAGGTTTGATGCCATCACAGCAGTCTGTGTTGCTACATGAGTGTTTTAGTTTGAAGCAGGGGAGAAGTTTTGAGAAGGATCTCACAATAATTCAGATTAGAAGCCTGGGGCTCACCCATACCAGTCAAACTGTAAGTGGGCATTCAGAGCACACCACTGGGTTAGATCCAGTATTAAGTAAAAAACCTGAGTTGTCTATAGTATAAATACATGGTCTTTAAAATACCCACTGCTGCTGCTGCTCTGAATAATTTCTTTAAGTAGAAACAGCCTTTATTTGTGAGGAAAACTGTGAGCTGGGAATCAGAATTAAATGGCCTGAGTTGGGACAAGGAAGATTTCCCAATATGTCAGCCTGCAAAGTGACATTTGGGGCATCTCTCACCAGCACTTCGAGGTTGTGCTGATACTGGAACCACTGAAGAAAGTGGTATATCTTCCAAATCATCAGCCATACCTGGTGCCTCTCCATGTTCCCAGAAAGGTGGATAATTTGGAAGTAACACAGGGTGCTAGTTATGAAATTTGAGCTCGAAAAATAAAACAATCTGGTTTCTGAGATCACTTTAAGTGCTTCCAAAGCAGTATCTGCACTGCAGCACTTTGCAGACCAGTGGTGTATTCTCCATGTAAACTTTCGCATGAAAATATTCTACCAAATACTGTCACTTTGACCTCAGTCTTATCTGAAAGCATTTTTAAGCTGGAGTATTTTGGAAGGAGAGAATATCACTGTTATGACCTCAGAGATCTAAATTACTGTTTTGCCATGGGGATAAAGAAAAGAGGAACCATTTCTAAAGAGACAATGGAAGTAGGATGCAAACATTGTTGCTTTGCCAGTAATATTCAGTCATATTCAGCAAATGCTTAAAAAAGGGAAGAGATTTCTCTGCAATAGAAAGGAAAAGAAATAAGAAGAAAATGCCATAAAGCTTAATTTAATTTTTTACATTTTAAAGAAAAAAAAATAACGAAAAGGCAAAATTATGCTAATTCCCATAAAATTCTGTGGTATTAATCAGGTCCCACACATTTGGACCCCAGAAAATGGTGCACCTTGAATATACCATTCGGCACAACATCTTTATTTTCCCAGCTAAAGGCTGGCAGCACTTATACATGTTGAACACCAAACAGCAGTAGGACATGTTGTTATTTTGTATAATATAGCTTGTAAAATATCTTGAAACTTCCTTTACGAAGAGCAGTTTATAAACATTTCATAATCTCTCCACTCAGAAGCAATGGTTAAATAATAAATGCTATATTTGCTATATTCATCTTGTAATGTGAAATATTAATGCTCATTTTTTTCATCCATAGATAAAAACATTTGCTTACAAATATTTTTTGGACTTTATATTCCTGAAGCTTTTGAGTACACGTGTCTAAGTGGCCAAGAAATCTATTTGCTACAGTTGTGTTTGCATTAGACGTCAGTCAAGTTCTCTTAATCCAGCTAAATTGTTGTATGAATGGAGAATGGGAGGTTAAATTGTTGATACAGAGGAGCAAAGCAGAAGACATTAAATATTTAATGCACTGGCAGAAGGACTTTGGTAACATTTCCTTTATTGAACAAACAGGCTGGCTCACCCCATGTGTAATCAAACACACAATTATTTCTGGAGAATCTGTTTCAAACTTCTAAATATCTGCATAGCTGTGGGAAAGAGCTATTTGGGAGATCTTGGGCTACAAGTGTCTTCATACTCATGTCTGGAATAAAGCCATGTGCTCCTTAAGATGATGATGATGATCAAAGGGACTTCTTAAACACTGTCCATAATCCAACTTCCATGAACTGACATTTTCCCTTCAGGTTTCTGGTCACACCAGGTGTAGTGATGGACATGTTGGGAGATAGGACCCCACATTTCCACCAAGTGAACTCACTTAGGGGCTCCTGAATTCCATCCTTCTGAGACTCCGCATGGCCTGAGGAACCCTGAACATGTTCAAGA